AAAAAAAAAAAAAAAAAAAAAAAAAAAACAAACAAACAAGCAAGCAAACAGACAAACAAAAACAAAAACAAAAACATACAAAAGTTTTGCAAGCAAGACGAAAGCCAGTAATAGTGACATTAATAGATTTTTAACAAAGATGCCCAATGGTTTCTGAAATCAGCGAACTAAGGAAATTGATACACTTGAAAAGAGAATATTCATTGTAACAACAAGCAAAGAAATAGGAAAAAGGAAAAATCAATAAAAATCAAACTATTAAATATTGACAAGCACGGGACACCATAGATGGAAAAACTTGCTGAACACAAGATGAGCTGTAAGCAAAATGTTAGTTTAGTTGGGCCGTCAGGAACGGAGCAGAGGAAGAGAGATGAAGGAAAAGGAACGTCGGTTTACACTGCTGGAAAAGCGATCAGAAGTGCATTTGGCGTTTTGCCAGCTGAAAGTGTGACAGCAATTGGCAATTCTTTTTGAGCGCAGCGAAGGGCATCGGGCAGCAGACGAAAAATTGCTTTCAACAAACAGCCAAATAAACGCAACAGACGTTACACTATATGACTCCGGTGCTTGACCGGTTACGTGTTCAGATTGTCTGTTATTTGCCGCGTGTATTTTGTAAGATACGTTTATAGTTAGTTAGTGGATATGCATCGGTATTTTCATGGAACAGTGTGTCGGGAGTGCGATGTACATGCGTATTATCAATATTACAAAAACAGTAAGTAACATGTGTTATTTTACTTTGATTCAACGAAGGAAAAAAGTGCGATTGCATTAGAAGTCGAATTTTTTTGTTTTTAGATGTGAATCCAAATCCTTGGCGGTAAGGTTCTATTTTTCTTAGTAAAGTTTGTTTCATTAAATTACCACAATCTTGTAATTTTTTACTTTCCATCTTTTTATTGCTTTTATTGCTACATTTTCCTTCTTATTCTTTGTTTTTGCGCCTGACGTGTGGTTCACGAGCAATGGTCATCGGGAAAAATTTCTTCGGGAAGTTTTTTTTTGTCATTTTCAGTTTCATCTTCTTTGTACATAAAACATTTTCCTCCGAATTCCATCGGCAAATTACTTTTTTGGTAGTGGTAGTACTGTGGCGTTGGTGCTGCTGTTGGTGGTATCATCTTTATAAATATTATTAATATTACTATTATCAACGCTATTATTAATATTGTTACTAATATCATTGTTACTGTTGCTATCATTACTGCTGTTAATTCCTGTTATCGCTATTGCATTTGCTGTTATTGATCCGTATTATTGAAATACTGCAGAAAGTGAAAAGAACTACTCAAAAATGTAGGTTATTTTTCATAATGGTTTAATTCGTTGGATTGATAGTACTTTTGTTTTGGTTAATAAGAGCATTTTTTTTTGTCTTCTTTTCTTTCTTGAC